GTTCAATGGTATGAATTTGTGTGTAGCATACATTCCAGAGTTCCCAAAGTGTTACTTATTTGGGCTTACTGGAAAACTTTACTTTTTAAGTGATTTTTTTTAATGGCAAACCTATTCTCCATTCTCCTTAGAGAAACTTATATTTGTAATTGAAAGTTTCTTAAAAAAATAAGTGTCTGGAGAATTTTTATCTTTGTTTAATATTCATTATATTTATACTGTTACACCTTTATGGATTGAGAAGGAAATATGCAAAACAGTACAAGTGCAAGGAAGGTTAATTATGGAAAGAACAATGAGTTAATATAGTTGATTCCTACAAAGTAGCTGTTATTTTTAATAGGTAAAACATGCTAGCAAACTACCATATTTAATGCAATATTTCTTCTTAGTAATAAAATATAATGATTGTCTTGTATGAAAATACCTTTTGTCATGCTTTTAATCTTCCCCAAGGGGGATGGAACAGACACATAGGAGCCATCTAGAAGTCAAATTACATTATAAAGTTGAAAATAGCAATGTTTTTTCTTACATAAAAGTTAAAAATAAAAAGTAGACTACATAAGAAATTTACTAAGAAAGCCAACTAAGACTACAGCGTAAGCCCTAATCTTTCTCTGGATATTAAAACTTTATAGCCAACATTTATTCAGAAAATACACAAAAAATTAACAATAAAAGCTAGATGTGTCACAGATTCCAGCAGACTTAACTTGTGTGTGGATTTGTATTCCTTGTTCCGCCTTAATAGATTACTGAAATGGAAAACGACTGTTCTCAGCTTACTCACCTAGTCATGCACAAAAACATCATAAACAGCCAGTCCAGGGAATGTTAAATTTGGAGGAGCTGCAGGTTGGTGAATTAGAAAATAGACTAAGTGGTGCCTCTTTTATTTTCAACCTCATTTAGACATAAATTTCCTTAAAATAAAGCTAACTTGACATGCTGTATTCTCTAATCCTGGAATGATAGTAATAGAAACACAGGTTGACTTTTGACATCATATTGCAGTAACAATGAAAACTGAATAAGAAAGGGGGTACCTCCTCCAGGCTGGGAATATTCATTACAGGGCAGTTCATCCTGCGGTCTCTTATAATGCTTCAGGAGTGTGACAATTGCATCATGTCCTTTAAAAATTACAAAAAAGGACAAAGGGTGTTCATTTTCATCTGATATACTCAGGTCATTAATCCAAAAGTAACTACAGTTAATTTGAAACACACAATGCATTTTAAGAGAGAATGTATTGCAGAAAGTCTTAGTACATTCATTTACCCAAAATAATTAATACTCTGTATGAGGCACTGTGTTAAGTGCTATTGGCTACTGGGCATACAATATCTCTATGCTCAGAAACTTAAAGTGGAGTTGAACAAATATGACTTTGTCCATTTGGTATAGAGAGAAAAAAAATACCTGGATGACCTAAATGATATAAAGTTAAGATCAATTTAGTGGTTCCCAGAAGGGAAGAGGGAAAGTGGATGGACCTATTAGGAAAAAAGGAGACAATAGTATGATGGACAGAATTGGGCTTTCATTCTGACTTAATGTAATATAAACATATGTTGATTTTCACTGGTGTACAACTGTGGCTTAGCTAATGCTATAATGCAATATTACTTCAATTCAGTAACTACAGTAATACCAGAGCATTTCTTTCCACCTCTTAGAGTCTTAGCTTCTTTTTAAAAAAGGAAGCATGTTTAAATGTTTCAGTAGTGGGATATTCTATATAATTTTTATATCAAACATAAGTAGACCTGCTTGTGTTGAATCAAAGGGGAGAACAGGGAAGGAACATTGCTCTTAATTTTCCCGGAGAAACTCTTAGGGCTTCTCTTTTAAGGACTTGGTGGAATACATCAGTACATTTTCCCAATAGTTTGCAATTATTACATCAGGTGGGAGGGAAGTAGAAAGAAGGAAGAGAAGGAAGCAAGTGAAAAGTTCATTGTCAAGCAAATTACCTAGAAAGATAATGTATGTATAAAACTTTTCTGTTTTCTAGAAGTCACGAATATTTCCTTGGCTTGTGATCTCCTTCCTTTATCTTCAAATTTGGCTTAGTTCTTACATCATATCACTCTGACTTCCAGTTCTCCATCCCACTTCCACATTTTAACGATTGCTGTCATTACTTTGGGGTCACTGGATAAGGCCGGAAAATCTTTCTCTGAATGTGAGCTAAAGTCAATGCTTCTTAAAAGAGCTTTAATTCCATTTTAATTCCCCTTTGTCATGTAAGGCAACATGCTCATAGGTTCCAAGGTGTAGGGCATGGACCTGATGGAGGCCAGTAGCTTGCTCACCCCAAGTGTAATGAACATTTCAGTTTACTTTGTTTGCCTGTGGGGGTTGCCCCCTTTTGAACTTCTTCCTTTCTTCCCCACTGCTGAAGGCTATTTTAGTCTCAGAATGAAAGCGACTCTGCCAACAAAAAACATTCCTCTGGAATTGAATTAGACCATCTGTCCCTTTGCTACATTCATTGATAAGAATCTGTGGTTCTAGAGTTCTTTAACTTAGTCTTTAAGTACTTGGGACCAGGAAACAAAACAAACCTTTATTGTATTTCTGATTTTCCTAGTAAAGCCTCAATTGGGGGAAAGAAAACAACCCCAAATCCCAAGCACTTACCAATCACATGTAAGTCTAGTTCATGAACCCAGCTCCCTACCTTTCTTACACCTCAGTTGGTTGAACTACCTGGGTACCTGTGTAGCTAGCGGCACAGGGACCCCAGCTTTCCCTAGTGAAGTAGAAATCCAATTTTGAATGCCTGTGTGAGTCAATGATCACACCCTTGATGTTACCTTTCATTTCAACAGCTCTCTTGGCTCCACTTGCTCTGAGCAGTTTTAATTTCCTGCCAGCACAGTGGCACAATTTGCTGGCATTTTCTTTGGGATGCTTTTCATCAAGAGCCTAATGAGTGCCTGGGTTCTGGCTGATGATAAGCATGCTGTTGCCAGGGAAATGCCAAGAGGGCTCCCTGACTCTGGAAGGCATCCCTGCCTGATTTCCCACCTCCTGCTGGCTAACTGCAGGCTGAAAAATGTGGATGGGAAATTCTCTGCTGCTATAACTGCTCTGAAGAACTACCAAAGTGTATGAAAGAAACCTGAAAATCACTAGAGCCTAGCAACCGGATACTTGACCATAAGGAGTTAAACAGGAAAAGCATTTTGATGGAATTCAGTAAATGGACTTGTTAAGCCAAATTCCTGCTAATGGATATACCTAGATAAGCAACACACACTAATGGAACACGTCCAGAGATAATCAAGCTTATGCTAATTAAATAAAATGTTTTCCTGTATCTAAGAATATACTATCTACATCTATGTCTTTTACTCACATAAAAGGTTGCTATATGTTATTTGTCTAATGCAGTTATGATGTGATTTATACTTTTAGAGTATTAATCGATGGAGCCCAGGGGGTTTTGGCAAATGGAACTTGCCAGTCATCTTGAAACTTCTTTCATTTCCTATTTCTCATTCTTCATGTCCTGTTTGTATTCTCCAAATTCTAGGCTTTCTCTTTAATTTATAGTTTTATGTTTCTTTATTCCCTATATTTAGAATGATTTTTATCACCTCCAGCCTTTTGTGCTTTAAATTTCTGAATAGCTTTTACTTTAAAACCTAGGTTGTTGCTTATGGCTACAGGTCCATAGAAAGGGCTATTATAAAGAGTTTAGCATCTGTATCATTTACATAACAAAGGCTTTATAATTATCCAACAAGTACACATTTTATTATTTCCTTTAAAGTTGTCTCTCTGTGCCCACCATTTTATCTTTGGAATAATGAATACTGTTCATTATTGGGAGAAATTATTTTAAGAATATAGAACATACCATTTTATGACAAGTATTTTAAAAACTAAGTCTAAAGATTAAAAGTAAATCATACCAGTACTATGATCTCCCCCCACGATTTTGTGACTTTGAGGCCCTATGTAAATTACATGTTTTACCAGTAAATAGGAAGCCAAGGAATTCCTACTGACTTCATACATCTCATATGTCCAGGACATCAAAGGAGCAGTTGGGGCTTTATTGCCAACAGCTTCAAAGAATAAAACTTTCACAGCAATGTTAGAGATGAGACTTTCCTTAATATTTAGTCCCTTCTATACCTATCATGTTTAAAACTCACTTTTCAGAAACATTAAAAAGTGGAACTAAGCATGTTTTCTGATTACTCTTCTATGTCTTAACTTCCTGACAGTCTTGGTCCTACACACTGTCAATTAAATCAGAAGCAATGAAAAACCCAGACTTGCTGCATCTCCTCGTAACTTAAATCTGAAAGACACTTTAATTTTCTATCACAGAGGCAACATGTATTGTTTCCCCGTTTTTCCTTTCCTCTATCACCAGACTCAGAAAAAAAATGCCAGCAGTGCTTCTTCTTGAGATACGAATCCAAAGATGTGAGTACCTTTGCCAAAAGAACACTGTAACCAAATTCAGTCACTAAGCATTTCTCTTTCCTCTTTTTCTCTTCTTCCAATTTGGTCTTTTTTGTCCCTGTACTTTCCATTGAAAATATTTGTGGAGCACATTAAGCAGCAGCTCAAATAACTTCCCCAGTAGACTCTATGGCTCCCCAAATTACATCCTGTCCTTGAGTTCTTTACTCACCATTGCATTTCCTTTTTATTTTGCTCATAGCACTGGTTATCTGATAGGTTCTATTTGCTTTCTAATACATAGCCTGCCTATCTCTACCAGAAATACAAACTTCCTAAGAACAGGGAGACACTGTCCTAATACTGTTTCACCTTAGTTCCTCACTTGAATTCCTGCTTTATAGTGGAACTTCTGTATAGTGTCTGTCACATATTAGTTTTGTAATTAAGTTTTGCTGAATGAATGGTACAAGATATGAGATATAATTAAAATGGAAATGTTCTTTACTCTTGCAGTGAACGTTGTCTAACAGAAAAGAAAAAGAGTACTTATATAGATGTTCACTCAAATTTCTCTTAGCCAAGCTCCAGGAAGGCAAAGTAGAGAATTCTGTGAATATGTTTGTCAGTGTTACTCTACAATAGGCAGGCGGGGTCAAAAGATTCCCTTGAGCTACTGTCTTTTCATCTGAATTTGAAAGATGGGTATGGATTGATTAATCAACACAGAGAAAAGCAGTTCCTCCAGAGGGAAAATGCTCACAGTTCCTTAGAAAAGGATTAGTATAGAGCATTCTTTAAAAGTGATTGCCTATTGAGCATTAGGACATTAGGACATTGTAGTTAATAAGAAACCTGTAGTACTTAATGAAATACCTACAGAGATAATAGAATAATGGTAATTAGGATTCTTGAGATCATCAACTGTATTATGACTGACCAGATGCCATCTAGTGACTGAAATATTTATTTGTTCATTATGTTTTGACAGATTGCATTGAGCACCTATTGGGAATGAGTTATTCAAATAAGATTCTGGAAGCTCAAAGACTTGTTCTCAAGAAGTTTACACTTTGGTAGGTTATGTCAAATCAGAAATTTAAAGAGTGGAGGGAGGTTGGGGAACAAGAAGGTGGGAGTCAGAAAGGCATGCACGGGCCAAGCTGAAACATGGCATAATAAGAATAGCAAAAGAAGGAACAGTAGCTCTGTATTACTACCTTGTGAAAATACAGGATAGAATTGGACTTAGATCTGTTTGAATTGAGAGTGAGGTGGTATGAGATTGAACCCTGCAATGAGATAAATCTCTGTTGATAGCAACTCTCCCACTGAAAAACATCATTTTTCAAGTGTGTCTTAACAGCTTTAAGCTCCAAGCTCTTTAACTGTAATGGAAAGGTGCTGTCAATTTTATTATTACCTTGATAACTAAATAATATATGCATATGTAACAGGGACTTAATAAATATAAATTCTCTACTATTCTTTTAATTTACACAACATATTTTTGTTTAATTCAAAGATAGGCTCAAATCTCTTTATACTAAAGTTTGTGTAATTAGGTAGAACAAGGTTGTATGTGTTTCCTCCCCCCCCCCATAAAAATGAAAGTTCTTCTAATTCTAGTGGGATTTAGTATTATTTATTTTTAAAGGAGCTTGACTAAATATGTGGAAAGTTAAGCAGTATACAAAAGAATCACACATAGATTTTGAAATACCATTAAATTGTTTTATTTAGCCTTTCCTCTCCTTCACCCCTAATCTACTCAAGTATTTAAACTAAGTTCACTAAAATAAATTAATTCCAAATAGTTATCTCAGTATAGAAGCAACCTTGAAACTTATAATACACTGATGAAAATTTATTAAAAATGTTCATGAATCCTCCTCTTCTATGCCTCTTCCTCCCCCCTTATCTTTTAGTTATTTTTTTATTGGCTTTAAAACTGTAGATACTCATGACTGTAAGACTTCATTACTTTTAGCAAATACACTATAGTGCATTTACTATAAATAATTCACACCATACTACACTTGTCAAAAGGAATGAACAAAGTATATATCATGATACAGGAACCTTGATTTTTATTGTTTTTGCTCACTTACTTACTAATTCTCCAACTGCAGCTCCTTGTCACAGTGAATTAGAGTGGTTCTGCTGTATACAAATATTGCATTCTGAGTAATTAGATATTGGGACAGGAACCTATGTAAATTACTTTAACTGGTATCAGTACTGAAGCAAATAAGTTTTTAGTTCTGTTTCTAGTTTTGGGTTATTTTCTGACCCTAAACAGCCTGACATAAAGGAGTGCTTTCTTTGTCAAAGGCAGCCTTTTCAAATCTAACTGCCAGACATACTATTGAGCTATGTGTTCAATTCTAATTGGCTGAGATCTTTTCAATTCGGCAGTTTCATCTTTAATGCAATGGATGTAAGATTACGTGTGGGTCTTTTCAATGGGTTTTCCATACTGGTGATTAGGGCAGAGGATTTGAACATAAGCAGGCTGCTGGCTATTTCTTCTGACCAATTTAAATTGATTCATACAAGTCCTTTGTACTCTAGGGAGAGGGCAGAACAAATCCAAGTAAGACAGCTATCGCTACACTTTCAGATGGAATAGTAGAGATGAAGAAGGGGGGGGGCAGATGGGAAAGGAAAACACTCTAAATATTGTAAAATAGGGGCTCTGAGCAGTCTGGCAGATAAATATTGAAACTTAACCAGAAGGCTTTTGTATAGAATCAAGGTCACCTAGAAAAGAATTTCCAGTATTGATTTTGATATTTTTAGGTTAAAAGGACTGTGTAAATGGAAAGGATTCTTCGTATGCTATCCCATAGGGAGCCACGGTGAGCAAACTTTTTTTTGAAAATATTCCACAAGAGAGGAAATGGCTCTTTCAGAACTCTAGAGCACTCAGGATGTGCTATATAGGAATAGCAGAGAAGGTTAGCTAAAAATTTTGAGTCAGGTGAGAAATTTTTCTCAAAACCATTCAAGCAGAGATGGTGCTATTGACTTCATAAAAAGAAACAAAAACAAAAACCCAGTTTTGTATTAAGAGGGTAGACTTGTGACTGATTCAACTTGTTTATATCCAAAACTACTCCCTATTGAATAGACCCTGATTATGAAGTTCACTTCTGTTTTACATCTACCACAGTGGAGAAGTCTTATATCACCTCTATTTTATAAAGCAGGAATTTCAAGTGAGGTTTGAATGCTTTCTCAACTCCATCTATTAGTTGCTCAGAAAAATCCTTAGTATACCATATCAATTAATTTGATGACTCTTCTGAAGGAGAAAGTATTTTTTTATCCAAAGAAAATAGAGATTGTGCATTTTGAAAATATTGTTTTTTGACACAGCCATTCCAGTCTTCCCTGATCATAAGAAAACTATATTCTTAGCAAGAGGAAGCAGCAGCAATTCCATTTTGTGGGTTTGACTTGCTTTGCCTGAGAACATATGCAAAACACTCACCTGTCTCCTGAGTACTAACATTCAATTTGTTAAAATTCATAGTAATAATGAAATGCAACACTGATGCCTTGCATATTAGTTGAACAAGTAAGGATAACAAGTATAGCATATGTTATAGAGACCAGTGGGTAAGTCCTCTGAACTAAAGGATTTTTGTTGTCATTTGGTAGGGAATCTAGGAGCTTATACAATAAGTCATTGTTTTTTAAAGAGTGAAATGTCAGGAAATGTAAAAGTAAAACCAGTTTTCAACTATCATTCACAATCAGCTAAAACTAACAAAGCCAACTCCTGTGAGAAGCTAGTTACAGCAGTTCTTTCTGAGCTGTCTCTGGAAGATTAGTGCTTTGTAAGTCTTACTCTGAAGCTCAGCTTTCTTGAGAGACACTGAGAATCACTTTCACAAATACAACATGTTGTATAACTAGAATTTAGCAAGGCCACTTGAGGCTTCAGAATTTGTTAAGCTCTCCAACTGATAATCAAATATAGAAAGGCTTAAATATATATTTAATATAAAATCGAAAGCTATTATACCTAACAGAACTGCAATCATGTATTTATTAAAAGACATGAGTATGTATGTTCATACAACAGTAGACTTAATAACCTCCAATTGAAAATAATCCAAATGCCCCCAAACAATAGAACGAATGGATTGCAATATAGTTATAGAACTATGCTATAAAAATGAATGAATGATCTACAAATACTTGAACAATATGGTGAATCTCACAAATCACTGGTTAAAAATGCTAGACACAAAGCCATATCTACATTTATATATTTAGTTAATAGATCTTTTTCAGTATGATCTTCTGAAGAGCCAAGCATTTTAAAAGATAAGAGTACTTCTGTGCACACTTAAACATCCTAGAAAAACAATGCAGACATCAAAGTTTACACACTTTTTACAGTGTTTTATTGTAGATCATTAATTTCAGTGATAATGTATAATATTCTATGCCACCTGAAAGTTTAAGTTCTGCAGAAGCTTATATGTTACTTAGGCTCACTTATAAATCTTAATAGCAGCAACTGATCGTCTCTAGCGTCCTCTGTCTTAATGAATTCATTATTAATCATCTTATTTCTGAACTAGTAATACTCCCACTGTTATCTTTATTGAAATATCAATTAGGTACTTTGTGTCAGCCACTGCTGTAAGCAATTTGCACATATTATTTAATCTTTACAATCTTTTGAAACAGGAGTTGTAATAACAACTGATGTTCAATAAATAACTTTCGCAAGATCAAAGGACATAACTTGATTTGAATCCAGGTGTTCTCACATCAGTCTGAGCTCACCACTCTGAGCTCAAATAAGTTTATACTTAAATAATAATCATTTGTTCCCTTACAACTTCTTCTGGTTTAGGCATTGTAAACAAGGTTAGATCTTTTTTTTTTACTTAATTTTTAGATATACGAATATGTATCAAAATGTCGTTCTAGATAAAAGTGAGACACTAACTCTCCATCTGCTGAACAAAAATAACTATCATTACTATCATATTGATTCCAACTTTGTTACTACCCAAAAAATTGACACCCCTTACAATGGGCTGAGGATACCTTTGGGTGCCTTGCAGCCTATGAGCTTCCTTCTCTAGTGATGGTCTTTTGGACTTTCATCCAAATCCCTAGAGATTCAGATACAATCTACAGAGGGAATGACTTATACAAGTTATACAACAAGAAAATTATTGGTGTATTCTCATATATACACAGTTCAATGTGTCATTATAGAGATGGAATGATGAAAAATATACCTTTTTCATAAGCCCACATCAAACATGTCTGCTCATCTTTTTCACCACTAGATCGGCTGGGATCACAAGCTACTAAATTCATATCAGCTCCATTATCCAGCAAGAATTGCACCAAGCGAATGTGACCATGGTAGCAAGCAGAGTGCAAACCTATAATAAAATGAATGGAGGTGTAAAAGAATAAAGAAAAAACACTAAACCTTAATTTTCAAGGCAGTCATTACCAACTATTAATATTGCTGCCATAGATATAAAACAAGGGTTGATTTATTTGTTAAAGAATTAAATGTGTTACTGAGTAAACAAAATATTTTAAACAAAAGAACTCTCCTAGTTGATCTTTCATATAGACAAATTTGTTTATTATTTCTGCATCTGCTGTAGTTATAAAGAATAAATGTTAGCATCTTTGTTCAAATCAAGGAACAAATACTTCAAACAAGTGTCTTTCTTGAGCAGCAAACCAAGATCAGGCCAATATCATCAGACTGTTCCTGCTGGAGGCCATAGGGGATATATTGTCTGTACATAATTTAACACAATAACAAAACTGACCAAAAGTCAGTCTTCTTGGTATATCACCGCATACCATCAATTCTAAACGATACCACTGATAAAATATTCCTTTTCATTTTCGTTGACCTCACTCATTGCTCTACCTTCTTGAGATGACCACTGTCTTGAATATTTATTTCTAAAGAATTGGTGAAGTCCTCACTGCAGACTTACCTGTGTGCCCATCCCTTCCTTGATGGTTGATGCTTACAACATTCTGATCGAGAAGAAATTTAACCAGGTCAATGTTCTTGCCATAGGTACAAGCACTGAAAATATATACAAAAAACAAAGTATAACAGAAGATCCCTATTACGGAACTGGATTGCATGTCCTTCAATTTATAATGCTTAAGCCCTAATTCCCATAACCTCACAAGCTAACTGTATTTACAGAGATAAAATTTAGAGAGGTGATTAAGTTAAAATGAAATCATTAGGGCCCTAGTTGATAATGACTGATGTTCTTATAAGAAAAAGAGATTAGTACACAGATAATTAGTAGAGAGATGATCATTTGAAGACACAAAGAGAAGAGAGCTATTTACAGGTGAGAGGCCTCAGGAGAAACTTTCTGAGACCTTGATCTTGAACTTCCAAGCCTCCATTATTGAGAAAATAAATTTCTGGTGTTTGAGCACCAGTGATTTGTATTTTTGTTACAGCAGTGTTAGAAAACTGATATAACTCTCAATCTTCCAGAAGTTTTTAGATACTAATATGTATATAAGAGTGCCAAAGAGGGTCTCCCTCGTGGCACAGGGGCTAAATTTCAGCACTATTAAGCTATCACCAGCCACTGTGACATGAGTTCAATACCCAGCCAAGGAGCTAGCCCACATGGCACAGAAGACCTCTCTTGTCTCACTCAATGCTCCCCTCAACGGTATATTTCAGTACCCCCGCCTGTTCTACTTCCCACTCTGTCTCTGGTGAATCCTCTCATCCCCCCCCACACACCTCTGATCTGTACCTCAGTTCTTGCATGCATAAATAAATCTTTAAAAAAAAAAACAACTTTAAAAAAAAAAGAATGCCAAAGAGACAGAGTAGAAGGAGAGATAAGAAAGAAATGGGAAGATAAAAACAAAGACAAAGAGGAATGAAGTTAAAAAGAATCTTACATGTTAACTTTGATCAAAAAAAAAAAGAGTCTTAGTCTGTGTGCATAATTTCTAGTGTTAAGTATTTCCTATAACACTGATTGTTTTTCATAAAAGGTAGGAAAATATTACAAGTATTGTATTCATTTTTAGCTATAGAATTTTCAGGGCAATACAATGGGAGAATCTAGGAGGTACCCCAGAAATGTAGTCAAATTCAAGTCACAGGCTAAAGTTATTCCCCAGAAAAGCCATACGCTGACTTTCTAATCATGCCATCCTGATCAGGGAGAAAAATCTCAAACTTGCCATTTTACTGAAAGACTACTGGCTGGGGATTCAAAATTCATAACTCTGCCATGTCCTAGCTAGAAAAGCTCAGACAGGTACTTTGACCTCTTTAAGTTAATATTTATAAAAAAAAATAGTATAGAATAATCTTTCTATATGTCATTTTGTTGCTGAAAACTCAAGTAAACTGATGTTTATGCAAATATAATATAAGTTGTAAATGATTGTTTATTGTTAGTTCTTTCCTGTTGGAAGCTTTTGGAGAAAAAGAACTGAATTGTATGTTTTGTGTAGTTCTTACAAATTTTCTTTTCCTACAGATTTGCTCATGCTGCTTCTTTTGCTATCACTCACTCACTAGCAACATTCTACTTCCAAACTCCAGGGAGTTATATAATATGACATAGGTTACTTAAAGGAGCTAACATTGGGTGGAACCAACCCCATCTAAATGATGGATAAAGGCTGAGGGAACTCTGTGATATTATGACTTATAATAAGAAATATATATTTATTCTTCAGCCACATTCCAAGTATAGAGCTTTTTTAAAAACTCTTATTTAAAATTTCTTAAGCAATGGAAGTAATGTGCCTATCTTTTATTACACATGTAGTCTTTGTTCTTAAAATCAAGGTGAAAGAATTTTTTTGTTGCTGTTATATATAACAAGCATATGTCAGTATTTCAACCACACCTGAAATGTGGAGACTTTTGGAAAGTCCTAGAATACCCATGGGATGGTATTGGTTGCCAGGGAATCAACCTGTGGATAGAAGGTCTTTAAGATCCAACACCCAATTCTTAGGGAGGAGAGAGGGACTAGAGGTTGTGTTGAACACGAAATGCCAATTATTTTTTTTCAGAGACACCCACATAATGAAGTCTCTATAAAATTCCCTAAAGGGCAAGGATCAGAGAGCTGTGGGGTCAATGAACACATGAAGTTGCTTCTAGGATGACCAGCAGGAGGAGGCTGGGCAGCCCCATCCCCCAACAGTATTTTCTACCCTATAGTAAGCTAGAACTCTGGTAAATAAACTTCTTTTTCTGAGTTCTGTGAACTACTATAGCAAATTCTTAGCAAGTTTGAGGAAGGTGTTGTGAGAACCTCTAATTTATATATAGTTACTCAGAAGCGTAGGTGACAACCTGGATTTGAGATTAGCATCCAAAAATGGGGAGACAGTTTGGCTGAACTGAGTCATTAATCTGTGGATCTGACATTAACTCTAGGTAGCTGGGACCATTCTTGAATTGTAAAGCACTCAGAATCACAAAGCAGGAGAAGGGCTTTGTGTATGGAAAACACAGTCAACTGGTATCAGACATATTCTATTGGTAGAAATGAAGTATTGAAGTACTTAGTGTTACAGTGGAGTATGACAGTGGTGTTTTTTTTCTTTTTCTTACAGAAGAGGCAGTTGACTAGGTTTTACTATTTTCTCTTCTATGCATGTCTCTGTCCAAATCCTCTTACTTAAATTAAATATAATTGTTTTTCTTCATTATTTTCTTAAAGAAATGCCACTATTCATCTAGCTGAACTGTTACTCCTTTTATGAAGCTTGCTAATAAATCAAAGATTGAGTTTATTGCTACCTCCTCTATCTCCTTGTCATTTCAGTCCTATGTACTTATGTCATGGTAATGGATACACCTTTGTTTACTTTGACATCTTATAACAGAGCTCCTTTATGGAAGGAAGGAGTTGTATCATTTTAATCTTACTAGTACCAATACAAGACAAAATCTGAACAAATTTTTCTTGAGTAACTGAGGAAAATGGCACCAAGTTTTTGCATTATATTGCAATGGATTACATCACTATTAACTATTTGCAAGGAAAATAAGACCCATAAAACTATACTTTTAGTGCCTCATTTTTCCTTTTCAAAGCAACTTATTTATAGGAAATGAAGCTTTTTGTTTGTGCATACACACACACACACATATACTAGACTATACATGTATATATAGCATGCATACTTTATATGTATAGATATCTATACTACATATACCATGTATACTATATTTGTATAGTATATGTATCTAAATAGATACACATAGAGAGAAACATTATTTCATATGTGCAATGTACTGTTTTATACATAGTGGAATTCATAACCAGAGTAAATTCTTCATGCAAAAGGAGTTTCTTTTATATGTTTAAAATAAATAGAGTAAAAATTTTACTGTCATTCCTAGTAGCCATAGGCTTGCACAAAATAAAACTCCCTTTACTAATCTCAAATAGACAGTCTTCAGGAGGTAACAATCACCCTCTGATTATAGTTGGTTCCAATTTATGTGCACAGAGTAGCAACGATTTGAAGAGTAGCCTGAGGTGTCAGTCATAGCAAGCATGCTTACTGGAGAAAAAGGACACTAGCAGCTTTTATATAAGTTCTATCAATTGTCAACAGGGACAAATTTCACTGATCCATTTTTACTGAAGGTAGAATTTGAGGAGTTCTTGCATCTGTTCTGTTAACTAAGTATGCAGGGAAAAAAAGACAAAATATTTTGATACTAGATCATAAAGATATGTGAAAAATAGGATGTGGAATTAGGCAGGCATTTACTACTTGATTTTCTAGGCTTAAGAATCTTTGGCAAGTCACTTAGCCTCCCTGAGTCAATTTTCTCATCTGTGGAAGAGGGATAATAAAACCAACTTCATAAAAAGGTTCTGAAGATTAAATGAGTACGGATGGAAATCTGGTACACAGTCATTGCTTCATAGATGGCACTTTTCTTCATCTCCCTTTTGGTTGACCTCTTTAGTTGATAAGAAAAATCTGGAAATCCGCAGAAAACTTAACAGATTGATGCTCATGCAGAAGCACAAATTTTAGCTCAGTTTGCAAAATAAATGTCTCCTCATTTGTATTATTTACCAGTGCTACATATGATGTAAAAACATAGGTCTTCAATACATGTTTCAAAGTTGCAAAATAATCAAGAAATGTTTAATGTGTAGGTAATGACCATATAGCCAGTCGAATAACTTAAAATTTATTTTTAATTTTTACCAAAGAGTAACTCACTGCTTAAAGAAAAGGTTTAAAATTTATGAAACATCTATATTCCTTTTGGACATCATGGGGATTCATTCTTCTGAGTTCCTAGTAAGCCATCCCTTCCCTGCCACTGTCTCTCCCTTCATTGCTTTCTTCCTTTTTTTTTTTTTTTTTGAAGGGACTTTTGTCCACCCAGGCACCGTGCTTTTCCACAACACACTGAGAAGTCTTTTAAGGTATCTCAGTGGCCACCCTGACTAAGCTTTTACAGGCTGACAGGTGAATGTCATAGGTAGATCCATTTTCACATACATTTTAAGTAGTAGGGGAAATGTGTCACATTGGATGCTGACGAATTCTGGTAATGAGATTCTTGTCAGAGGAGGATTATGGACACTGCCCCTTTTGGCAGCTTTCTGCAGAGTGAAGTAGAATAGAAGCAATATGCTTACAGATGTGGCTTGCTTGTTGCCTTGGCAACATCAGTCCCTGTCATTGTGGCTGCTGCCGGCAATGCAGCATCTGGCTCTGGCCCCATCTGTTGTATTGAATGTAGCATCTGCTCTACCTTTTCTTCTGTTCATCTAACTTGGACTCCTTGTCCTCCAACCACCCTTTGCTCTTGCTCTCTGATTACAACATCTGCCACTGTTTGTTTTTGCTTTATATACATAACTTCAGATGTCATGGGGTATCAGCGAGGTTTAGTGGCCATTGTACTTAAATATTCTTTTACCTGTGAAAAGCTGTTTCACTGAAGATGTTTTCCTTAGTCAGACTTTCTATTCCTGATATTTGGATGATTTCCTTGGCAACTTCAAATTTTCCATTATAGCATGCTCTAGAGTTAAAGAAAATATTTTGATAACAATAAAATTGGTACATGCAGGATATCTGGAAGATCTCTGAAACTGTTCATTATACTCACAGGTGCAAAGGGGTATCTCCATAGATATTAACAACATGTGGCTGAAGTTCCAAATCACTCTGGAGCAGGTATTTCACTATATCATGGTGTCCAAAACGAGAACAGAAGTGGAGTGGGACATGGTCTTCATTGTCCCGAGCATTCACTGTCATCGAGCAGAAATGAAAGGCTGTTACTTGGAATACTGTCTCTCAGCATTCTCATGTGTACTGTAAGGGACATTTTGAGTGCCTGAGAGACTTCTATAAATTGCCAATTAATGATAATAATAAGGGAAATTAAGTGCAACCAATTAAAAAGTTATAATATTTTATTACCTAGTAAGCAGGCTTTCTTCTAGTTCCCATAAATTATATGGAACATATCTAACCAGATATACCTTGTACAGTGGAATATTTCAGGAACCAAGTACCCAAAAGGTACTCATGACCTTATTTCCATGAGTGGGTTCTATGACTCTATATGTTTACTATACTACAGGAGGTTCTGATATAGCCTTAACTGAATATTGTCATACTATAGTACACAAAGCACTGAAAAGACAGTGAGTTTTAGAGTGAGGCAGATCTCATCTTTTTTTTTTTTTGTCTGTATAGTTATTTAGTAGTCAATTGTTCACTCAGTAGTGTTATGTCCTTTTCTTTGGCCCATTCTGCCTCACAATCGGGTCCAATGTTTAGAAAATTCCCTATACTGAAAGTGCTGACTAGTGGCCAAGATAATGTTCTATAACAGAAGCCAAAGAATTGCTTTCCAAGTCTCCTTTGCAGCTAGGGCACAGGGTTAACAGACGGTGACCATATGTCTCATTTAATCTTGTTGTCCTAGCATAATTTTTAATAGTGACTCTTTTACTCTCAACAGTGCCCCTGCTTGAACACTTGTCCATAGCTCCTCTAATCAACACATTATATCAGATGGATAACACAAAAAACAGAGCTTGCTCTATTTGGGCAATGTAGCAGTGGTGGGGTACTTCATCCCACTTTCAATGGTAATGACTACAATCACAGGCTCAAGGCTCAGCATTGTTGGTGCCAGGAACACAAATGTTGGTGGGTGTATCTTACAAGGCAGTGTGTCTTCATTGTACTAGTTTTGGGTTGTGACTATAGACATAGTTCCAATCTTTCTTGACTTTGCAACTTGTTCTAGGTAAGATTCTGTGTGCTACTGGACATTCACTAATATGTTTCTTTTATGCATAAATTAGCAAGAGATCGTTTCCAATTCTTGCAAATAAAACCTGACTAATAAATACTTATTTTTCAGCAAGTATTAAATGATCACTATACTTTAGGCACTAGACTAGATGTTGGAGGTACTGATATAAGTAACAATGGGTACTACAGTTGTACAAATGCTAAAAGTACTAACGAAGATAATAATTAGAAAAGATCTAACATGTTGCCCACAACAGGGTAGACATGTAAGAACATAAGTTTCTTCCCAGAAATTGCAAGTACTAAGACCAATAAGTTATAAATAGACTGCACTGTCAAATAACTTCTAGTCCAATAAAACAGGCAATAATTATAGACTTGAAGTAATAATAACTGAACAGCAAGCTTCTACATTTTGAATTTGCTTAAGCAGTTTGAATAACTAATGTAGCTTAATCAATTGTTCTATAGTCATCTGTTTCATTATTGGACTACTTTGTCCATCTGTTCTATACCAGGTGATTTACTCAAAATAGAAAATAAATAATCCTCAGTAAATGCTACTATCTACCTACCAATTTATCTATCTACCTACCTATCTACTTGCCTACCTACCTACCTATCATTAAAAATTCCAAAAGAGGCCCTCCCTGGTGGCGCAGCGGGTTAAAGCACCGCACTGAGAATCTAAAGGCCCTTTCTCATGAGTTCGATTCCCACCTGCCCCGGAGGTGACCACATGGCGTGGCAGACCTCTCCTGGCCAGCCCACTGCTCTCCTCAGCAGTGTACTTCGTAGATCTGCCTGTTCTGCTCCCCACTCTGTCCCTGGTGAATCCTCTCACCCTCCACATCTCTGGCCTGTATGAATAAATAAATAAACCTTTAAAAAAAATTCCAAAAGAGTTAAAGCAAAGGAAATTAATGTGAAGAAGGAAAACATAATGTTAATTTTAAAATGTGCAGTTTATTGTTATTGTTGTTATAATTCTCACCTAACATTTAATGAACACTGATTTAGACCTTGTAGCTGCTGTGTTTGTAGACAGTAATTCTCATTGTCTACCAAGATCTTAAGTCAAAGGAAAATCTTTAACAAAGTCACTGAACTCCTCCTTAGAAAGCTGTTATTGAAAAGTAAATCTTTGAATCTTTTCTATTAGCAATTGGTTCGGAAGGACACCTTTTCTTCAGAAGAATGTTCCTAGTTGTTTTGATTTCTCCCTTTTATGACACTTTTCCTTTGTTCACATTCTGTTGGAAGCCAGGGAAAGTCAATACTGTCAGTCAATGCTTGAGAACAGTTGGGAGTCCAGGGCATTTGGAGGTCACTTAAGAGTCCTTGAGGTCCAGAGGGTACATTGTAAAGCAGAATCAGCATTATCTTCCATTAATTCATAATTTATCTTGGCCATCTCTGTCCACACCCTACACTATTCACCTCTAGTCCAACCAATATACTTCAAAGTAGACTATTTAAGTACTTAGCAAATTACCTGCTGTGTCCTAGCTTTTCTTCCCATCAAAGGGACAACTCAGAAGAAATTTGAATAGGAAACTGTGTGCATACACCTGTATTTCTCCTTCAGTTATTGTGATCTGCTTAGTTTTGTCCTGGACTAATCTGCAAAGGCAGCAATTATATACATTATTATATCTTATCTGAGGAAAATCAAATGTCTGAATGATATTCTATTTGCTCTAACTTGCCATCTTACTGAAAGATTTAAATAAAGGAGAATTTTAAGCAAAGGAATATCACACATTAATTAAGAAAAAAAGTGTCCAATCATCTATTTTGAAGAGTATTAGGTAACTCTTGTCTTTTGGAAGAAAGACTTAGTGAATGAATGGGTAAGTGGATCCACTCTTGCTTATTTCTGCTTGATGTATTTAAGATTAAAAAAAAAAACCTCCCATATTAATCCAGTAATACCAGAAGATCCCGCTAACTTAGAAAAAAACTACTGAGTGTGTCTTAAGTAAATTTTCAACAACAAATCTGAGTAAAAGCTCTGACATGCTGTGAAAAATAAAGTACTTCTTTTTACCCATCAAGCCCTAAAAATTCCTGTGACTTTTAAAAATATCCATTTCCATTTAAAAGAGCAGTAACATTTAACATTCAAATGGCAAAACTAATAAAATCTGAATTTTAAATTTCCTATTTCTAACTTTATTAAAATAGTAAATCATGAGAACTGTATCACTATTTTCTTTTTATGGAGTCCAGCAATATTTTGACCTTTTCAGTCTCATTCAATAAGCTTTACATTTCTTCTTTTTTCATTGCCCTAAGATCTATAAGGCAGAAAACTGAGACTTAAAACATGTGTGACTGAATAGGTCAGCTTCCCAAACATGCTAAATCGAAGAGGTTGCTTCAGAATTAAATTGTCGCTGATTTTGTAACCTGAATTTATTTTCATTTGTGACATTCTGTTACTATGGAAACATACTGTAAATACTAGATTTCAAGTTGTACTCCTTTTGGGGTCATTCATTTAATCTTTTTTTAATGTCCATTTATCATAGGCAAGGTCCAGATTTAAAATAAATCATCTGGAGGCTGAGGTACATTTTGGAATACGTGAACTAGCTGATAATAAGAACAATACAGTGTCTGGTCAGCACAATAGATCTTTTGGTTTATTTGCTGCAATTGCTTGAAGTGCAAAAGGGATTTACTATAAAGGATGTAGTAGAAGGAAATAAAAATAACTGAGTCAAAAAACTGAGTCATACCATCTCTTGATATTTTAAATGATTGAGTAGGAGGCATGGAGTGCTTGTGTGAAACAGAAAGAAAATGTTAAAAATTATATCAATGATGCTGAGATGGGGAATTTGGGTGCAGCACACATTTCCATGCTTTTTGTAAAAGAATTCTTTGATCCCAGAGACTTGCTGATCACAAATGACACTCATTTTGACACCACTGAGCTTTGGAGTCACACAGAGGAATAAAAAGCTGAAGTTGGCATTGATAATAAAAGGAAAAAATGATGCAGTTCATGACCCTTGGGGGGAAAAATGAGGCTGTTTCAAAAACACAATTAGGTGTTCACTGGTTCACACGGGTGTTACCTCTGCCTATTCTAAACTAACAGGATCAAACGGACTGCTTAAACAAGGTCCAATAAACAGCATTCCTTGCATCCTGACAAAACAAGTTGTTTATGATAATTCCATGGAAAAGATATCTGAGTAATCACACACTGAATTGCAGAAAATGATACGAACTGTTTTGCAAAGTTGTCACAACAAAATAATCCTTGTAGCCAAGATGGAAACTTCCCTCCTCACACCTTCACCATCATTGTTTCCAGAGGTCTCTGTGGCTTCTTTAGAGGAAGCTAGTTAGAAACATTGATTAGTTTTATTAAATGACTGTTGATATGAATTTTGGACCATGAAACTAGCAGTTTAGAGCTTTGACAACCTTGTCCTTTTGGAAATGTGCATCATTTCTGCTGCAAAGGCCAGCAGCTCTTACAGCTGGGCTTTTAATTAGATCTCTTGGGGGTCAATGGAGGAAATGTTGACTATGCCTGAGAGAATTTAATGACAAGATATAACAGGGCACATTTTTGTCAAAATATAAAGTTTGTGAAGAATAGAAAAAGGTGACTTTTTTTCAGTCTCTTACTATATTGAGGTAATGTTGCTTGACAAAGTTATATATGATTTAGAACTATGGAACACCCCCTTCAGGTGTAAGTTACCACACTCAAGCCATAGTCCTCCACCCCTCCCCTGTGTTTGTGCCTCCTCTCCACTATGCTCTCCTCCTCCTCCCTCCTCTAGTAGCCTCATTCTACAGTCATATTTCTAGGGCTTGTGATTTGTTTGGTTTTATTTGGTACTTTGTTTTGTTTCTCTACAATCCACATAAAAATGATATCATCCAGCATTTTCTTTCTCCTCACTTATTTTGCTTCAGCACGGTTCCCTCCAGTTCCCCTCCATGTTGTTGCAAATGTCAGGGGTTTGTCTTTTTTATAGCTGAGTAATATTTGATTGTGCATATATGCCATATTTTTTTTCATCTGTTTTTGGGCATTTAGGTTGTGTCCATACTTTGGCTACTTAAATATTGCTTCAATAAAGTAAGAGTGCATGATTCTACCTTTAATCAATTTTACAGAATTAATTTTATAGTTAAACATTAAAAGTTATGGAAAATATTATTCTATTAACTGTAATTAAAATCTTTCTGTGTATTCTAAATATCCCCCCCAACCTGATCACACTATCTCCACTAAAAATAACAGTAGTGTCAAATATTAGCAGAGACAAGGAGGAACTGACAATCTCATTTAATGCTGTAGAGGTAAAATGCAGTACAAACACTTGGAAAGTCATCTAAAACCTCTTAAAAAGCTAAAAATGCATACCCTTTGAACCAGATTTTAGATTTAGATTCCCCAAATCTAAAACAATCCCTAAGTCAAATACATTCTACAAAAAAATTGAAATTTTATATTCATAAAAGTCAAACACTAGAAACATATGAATGTCAACTAATGGAGCAATGGGCAAAGAAATTGTGGGGTATTCATATAATATTCATCAATGAAAAAAGGAAGCTATGATTCATGCAACAGCATGGATAAATGTCAATATCATCATGTTGGCCAAAAGAAGATAGCCACAAAATACGGTTAAACTAAAAAACAGTAAATCCTACCTTACGCAAGAAAAGCCAGCATATTCATTACCTTTAGTGGTGAAAGCTCTTTACTGAGAAGGCACAAGGAAATTTTCCAGAGTTCAACTTTCAGATGAAAATATTCTATATTGATCTACACAGTTTTTGCATAAATCTATGCATAAGTAAATATTCAATTTAGACTTGAGAATTTTATTTATGTAAATTTTACTCATTAAAGAAATGATTGGTGAAAAACAATATATACAAAAAAATATTTAAGAAAATCTACCCCTTATTTATCCTAAAGCACCTAATGTTAAGAGTTAAGATGTGTCAAGAAGACTTCACATGTAGGTTTAATTAATATATTAAAAAATAAGTTATGGGCCCTCCCTGGTGGCGCAGCGGGTTAAAGCACTGCACTGAGAAGCTTAAGCCACTTCCGCATGAGTTCGATTCCCACCTGCCCCCGGAGGAGACCACATGGCGTGGCAGACCTCTCCTGACCCGCCCGCTGCTCGCCTCAGCAGTGTACTTCGTCGATCTGCCTGTTCTGCACCCCACTCTGTCTCTGGTGAATCCTCTCACCCTCCGCATCGCTGGCCTGTACCCCAGTTCTATATGAATAAATAAATAAATCTTTAAAAAAAAAAAATAAGTTATGAACTGAAGAACAAATTAGTACATGAGTACAGGAATAACTGCCTTTAAGATTATCCTTTAAATAAGGGCAGTAAAAGTAAAAAGATATAAAGTAAAAAATAACAAAGATTTCTCAATATACAATCTTACCATCTGCTTTGCTGCCTTCTTCCATCAAGAGTTTCACAATATTGAAAAATCCTTTGGCAGATGCTAGGTGGAGGGGCCTGTCTCCAACTTCTCCACTTACATTTACATCAGCTCCAAATTTCAAAAGGAGGCGAGTTACCTGAAGGATCCATTCATTTGAAATTCATATCAAAAGTCAAGCCATAATGCAAAGTTTTCTATCACACAGAAGAGGACATATCATTAGGATCTCCCCTTTCATTAGTTTTACCTGAAAATAGCAGAGAATCTTGACCCACCTGGCCTAAAGATTATGGAATACTTACACAGAGAATGATAGATAAAATTGGAGCAGTTCATGGTTGGATTTCTATTGTACATAAATTAACCTCTCTGAAGTCACCCATAACAATCTTTAACCAATCTTTTCTGAAGTGTTCTTCTGGCCAAAGCCAGCAGAGTTTTCATGGTTGTTCCAACCATAGGTTACAGAGAGTCTTCTTGCTATTGGAGTTCTGTGAATAAAAGGCACTAGTCCTCAGCATATTCCCCTGTTAGCTAAGACATCACTTCCAAAGGGACAGAGAGAGATCAAGTATTAAGTGACTTACAAGTTTTCCAGAGTTGTTTTCAGGTAATTTGTAGGATGACTTCAATTCACTTAATCACTAAGAAACCCAAGTAATTTCTCTAAACCTGACATTGGAATTTAAGACATCATGACAGCAATCCTAAGTGGTTAGGTAGGATATATCTGTATTATTAAAAGACACTTCTTAAATGTCCTGGGCATGGAGATGTCAGTAAATTGAATTCAAGTTCTAAACCTAAAACTATTTTTCCTATGGCATCAAATTAACATGTCTTGGGCAGAAACCTCTCAAAAATTTGGTACATATTTGATAGAAATTCTAGGCAAAAAATTAACTGGATGAGAGGTGGGGGAACTTCTAATTGAGCTAGTGGAAAATGAATAGGGTCTCTAAATCAGGCTTGTGCTTTTTAGCTGTGTCACCTCAAACAAATTATTTGACCTTTGAGACTTGAGTTTCTTTACCACAGGCTGGGAATGAGCATGGTTCTACCTCAGAGAATTGTTCTGAAAATTAAACAAGTAATTATAAGTCATATACTTGGATAAGTGCCTGATAGTAAGTGTTAGTAGAAGCAGCAGCACCAAATATGGAGCATGCACACTTTATTCCTGTGTTGGCTAATGAACAGGCCAATATTTAATTCAAGAGAAATCAGAACAGTAGGAGTTTAGTCTCAAGAGCCTTGCAGCCCTAAGCAGATATTTCCACTTTCACAGAGTCTATAAATTCTGATTATGTGACTTTTTAATGGACAGATTTAAACTATCTTTGAAATAGATCGTCTATTAAGCACTATTATTATATGCCTACAAAATATTGCTCTTGGTATAAAGTGGTACAGAACATCTACTCTTCCACTTAAAAATAAGTAAATAAACAAATGGCAAGGAACATGGCACATTAGGCACATTTATATATCAAATGTACCATTCTCTAGTCAGCATATTTTAGCAAATGACAATAGCATCCATAAATTACTTCTGTGCTGTCTCTGCACACAGAAAGTGGATATTCCCTTATCATAAAAGGGCCATGCTCATTTTAGCATAATTTCATAAGACTGTGACTATATATTTAGGGAAAGTAAACACATTAACTCTCCATCCAACATGCACAGGAGCTCTTTATATTTCTGCTAGGTGATGAGGTTAATCGCCAAAAAGGATGAATCTACAAATGATATTCATTGTGTAGATCCTGTCTGTGCTTGAAGTTAAGAAAAATATGGAAGTTTCCTCAGTACCTGGGCTTTTGGACCCTGCACTTTCAAAGGCATTTTCAGTTCCCAGCTCTTCAGTGCACTCCAGTGCCCTCCAAGCAGCACATTAATGAAATGAGCAATCTTCCCTAGCTAAAGGTCATGCTTCACAAGTTTGAGAGTGTCCAAGCATATGCCAGCTAGCAAAGAAATGAAGGCAAACGGCTAGGACAGAGCAGACACACAAGGAAGTTTGCATTTCAACTTGGGCTCTCAGGAGAAACAATGACATGGCTTCCATGATGGTAAAAAATAAAACTTGAGTCCATAGGTGATGAAGACTAGAGACATAGTGATACAAAATGTGGGAAAGTAAAAACGGTATAAAAAACAGTTAAGTTTTGCCCTATCTGAACATATTCATACTTACGTTCTATTTGAGTCTATTTAATTCTTTGAGCCACCTGAGCTGAGAGAGCTTCATCAATGTTATTGATAAAAAGAAGCAAATAATAACTGATTTCAGGATTGTGTCAATTAAAAAAAATAAACTCACAAGCACTCTTAATATAGTGTCTGCCCCATAATTTGAGTTCACTCAGATGGTAACATATTAAGTTCATAAAGTTGGGACACATAATATTTACTGAATGAGGGTACATTGTAAATTTCAAAGCATTCTGTTCATATTGTTACTTCATTACATAATATCAAATATTAAAAATATTTATCTCTTATATAGTTATATATTTAAAGCACATTTAGCTTATCTAGCTTATTCATGTATTAGTTTCCTATTGCCACCAGAGCATATTACCACAAATTTATTGGGTCAAAACAACACAGATTTATTTTATTATAGTTTTGAAGTCAGAAGTCTAAATTCAAGGTGTATGGGCAGGTTTCATTCCTCTAGAGATTTATGTTTCTTGCTTTCTTAGCTACTATAGACTTCCTGGGTTCCTTAGCAGCTCTATCTCGGTATCACTTTAATCACTTGTTTCCATTGTCACATCTCCTATTAGTCAGTCTGATTCCATGCTTTCTAATTAAAGGACCCTTGTGATTAAATTAGGCCTATCCAGATGATCTCCCCATATCCAGATCCTTAACTTGATCACATCTGCAAAGTCTCTTTTAAGGTAACGTTCACAGATTCTAGAGATTAGAATGTAAACATATTTTAGCAGATATTTTAAAGCCATTATATCCTAGAACAATAAAAAAGGGGAAACAATTTCTGAAAAACATGTTTCAAAGAACTGATGGGAAGGCCTTTATCCACTGTAATTGTTATTATTATTTCAGTGACATCTGTTGAGCATTTGTTAAACAATCTGCTCTAATCCTCAGGCAAAACTGTAAGGTAGGTACTTTTAATATTTTCCACATTTAATTAATGAAGAAATTAGAGATCAAAAAGATTATTTAACTCACACATGGTCACAAACTAAGAATTTTTCAAACCCTCGTCAGGGTGCTCTCAAGCCTCCCTTTTATATAGTAACAGTGAAAAGGAATTAAAACAGCAATTGCAATATTTCTGAGGATCTATTAGCTCATCAGGGTGAAGATGAAGGATATAGTAATAATAGTTCAAATGCTATCTGAATATATTTCCTTTAAGCCAGTTCAAAAACCGCCTACGACATGCAAGTGGCCCCTACCTATGGAAATTCATCAGACTTACCTGCTCATGCCCATAGTAGGCTGCAATGTGCAATGGGGTGAAAAAAACGGCATCTTGGACATTGACATTAGCTCCGTGTTGCAGCAGCACATCAGCAGCCTGGATTAGAAAGAGAGCTCAATTAGGAGCATGATTTGGCCATTTGCTAATCAAAATTAATTTTAAAACCACCAAATATACCTCTTCTTCAGGAGTCGCTCTCCTGAAATGCACTGCCCTTCTCCAGGTGTGTGGTCAACCTGCATGCTGACTCCCACTCCTTTGAATCTCTGTTCTCACTATTTTCTGAGCCAAGGATTCTTTTCTGCCCAATCTACATGTGCTTAAACCCAAATTAAATGCCATCTCCTGCAAGATTTCTTTGACTTCTTTCCATTCCTTGCCAACTGACTTGTTGAATTTGTCTTCTCTACTCTTATATCTCGTGTAAGTTTCTTTCATTCCATTTAAAATGTTTTAAAAAGTAAGTTTCTTTCATTCTATTTAAAATGTTTAAAAATGTATATGCATGTCTTATTACCCATACTAAGATAAAAAATTTAAAAGATAAAATGTATCTGAGATTCATTTCCAGGGGTTATTGACAAACCATCTTCATTGGAAGTCATAGATTTCCAACAAATTTGCTGCTTTTTCAAATTTTTTCTGCCAATGTATTCATCTCTAATTCTTTTTTTCTGTGGAAAACTAATTGGAGTTATTTCTTTCAGATGTTTATTTTGTTGTAGGTTTTCCTAATGTAATATTCTTCAGTTCATCAAATAACATACTTTTTGAGGTTGGAAAGCTCTATTAAGACTCAGAAGAGAAACAGAAATATGGGATCTAAAAACACAGATAAATACTCTGGTTTCTCTTCAGAACTGTATAAATCTTTCATCTTTTACTAAGTGCTCAAAACTTATGCTTCTATAAATAAATTACAACAAAGGTTAAGTTTCCTTGACTATTTGAATTATAACCCTCAGAACTGAAGAGGGATCATGGTCATTACATATCAAATCCTGTGTTTTAAAGTGGAAGACAGAGAAATAGAGGATTTAAAAATTTTCTCCAACTCATGAAGCAAGTTAATGTTAGCAGGGAAGTGAACTTTAATCTCTTGCCTCAAGCTTTGTTTCTGTATACTCCATAGTTTCAAATAGTTCATTCAATCATCCAATTTTTCATGCAACACAATTTATTGAGCATATATGAATCAAACTATGATTTTTATATGCTGACTCTTGACATTTATTCAATAACTAAGACAGCATTAGAACCAATTATAGCTGTCACATAAAAGAATAAGGATTTTTTTTTTGTTGGAACTGTTGAAATTTCTGGTTTATATAAAAAATGTAAGTAAGGTGTATAGTCTACACATTCTCAGAACAAATATTTTGCTCATAATGGCATAATGCTGACTAATGATCAATAGAATACACAGTATGTACAGCGCTTCTCATAAAATACTAAAGCCACAATTAACATTTATTGGTGGCATTTTATGTGCCAGGCCCTGAAATATGGGAATCAATGGTAATCCTGTAGTCCTCCCCAAAACACACAAGGCAGGTACTACTCTCCCATTTTTAAGGTGAAGAAATAGCCTCAGGCAAGTGCAACTCATTTGAAGTCCATAAAAATATTAAAGAACAGAAATGGTATTCGACTCCAGGTCAATTTGACTTCAAAGTTTCTTTCCTTCAGATCCCTCCTGTGACCTTGATCTCATTAACACTAACCTTTAAATAAATGAACTAACTGACTCAGTCTCAGATAAGAGGAAGTTTTTGTCTGTAGAAGCTCTGTAGATTTGGCTTGGAAATGAATGCCAGAGCCATTTATATCAAATGCCTTGTATCTTCCACTTCACATGTCTGGGAGTTCAATCTTAGGATCCTTTAAAGGCGGTCACAAGTGATCAAGGTAAATGAAGCTTTTTATAATTTCTCTTATTTTAAATAAGCATGAAATAAAGTCAACAGCATGGATTTTTATTGTAAAAAGACTTCTCAAATGTTAACATAGAGAGCCCAGTTTCTTAGGCTGGTTCCAGAACTTACTTTCATTCTAAAATTTAATAGCTCTTAGGCTTCAATAAATAGTCTAAAGCATTTTTTTTTCCTATTGCGTTTGCACCTCTCCAGTTATTCAGAAAGTCAATCTTTTGACTGAACATCATTAATGGTGAAGTGTAAGCTTTCTGAGAAACTCTCAAAATGTAAGTTTTAATGAAATTATGCAGTCATAATGAACTGTAATCTTAAATTTGTTTTAAAATTCAAGAAATATTTCTCCATTGGGACAATGTAAATGAGAATAATCTGAGTAAGTTCACATTATGTATATGGATGGAAATATTTATTGGATTTTGAAATCATAGTGGGAAGTGCTTTCCTTCTATAGCCTTATGGTAATATGTGATAGAAAAAGATGCTTTGTCATGTGGCTAAGATATATATGCTCATAATACTGACATTTAGTGTTGTATACCAATGTTACCTTTATTGAAAAAGAAACAATTAAATCAGATGCATTCATAAGAATACTTAAGAAATACATTTAGCAAATAATTTTATACATATTTTCCATGCTCTAGAATCTAAAAAGTTTACAAATCAACTTTACATTTTTCTACTTCATGAAGTGCCATGAAGTTACACAATAACTCATTTTAATCACCCACGTATATTTGGGATATGTACCTACCATCAGTCATCAGGAAATTTAAACACTGTAAATATATGATAGAAATTTTAATTCCATTCAATAAGAATTAATCATTTATTTCAGATTAACCATTAGTAAATCTCAACTGTCCATTCCATGCCAGGAATTTTTATTGAGTCTTATGTACATTATCTTATTAAGGTTTGTTTGCCTAATAACTAGGTACCTTTTACTAACGGAAGGATAAACTCCGTAAGTGCTTCTAATTTTGTGGTTGTTATCTGAGCAAATAAAATTGATCAAATTACCTTATTTTGATACTAAAGAAGTTATTGCATAAAATACTATTTACAGATTTTTTTTTTGTTTGTTTGTTTTAAGAACCAAGTAGAGTCCTTTCAATTTCCAGGCTGCAATTTAAACACATTTACAAATTCTGCTTTTTTTTTTTTAAAGATTTATTTATTTATTCATACAGAACTGGGGTACAGGTCAGAGTTGCGGAGGGTGAGAGGCTTCACCAGAGACAGAGTGGGGAGCAGAACAGGCAGATCATGGAAGTACACTGCTGAGGGGAGCAGCGGGCGGGCCAGGAGAGGTCTGCCACGCCATGTGGTCACCTCCGGGGCAGGCGGGAATCGAACTCATGCGTAAGCGGCTTTAGCTTCTCAGTGCTGTGCTTTAACCCACTGCGCCACCAGGGAGGGCCTCTGCTCTTTTTTTTTTTTTCTGAGAAATCTCCCCTTCTCTTTCTATGTGTGCCATATACCTAATCTCAAGCCCAATTTCAGTTCTTGTGTTCTCCATGAGAAACCTGTCAAACATTTTTCTGCATTGATCTATCCTTCTCTGAATAATTATGTATCCTTACAATTTGATTTTTAAATTATCAATATAGGTAAACCATTATTATATAAAACTTTAAACTATTTTTCATGTTCTAAACTTGTCTCAATAAAATGTATGAAGTTCTGACTTCCAGTAAAATCCTTTTCATTTGACTAAAATAGTCAGACTGTATTTAAAATTAGACTCTAAAACTAATGCCTATAGGAGAAAGGTCCTCTTTGTTCTTGCTTGCAATTGTTTTTCCTACTATATGACTTTAACTTATTTGTCTTGTTCCCTTTTTTTCTCCCTCATCTTTCATAGTATTAAAGTCATTAAACAGTGGTGACTTAAAAATGATCAATTCAAGAGGAACTAAATATACAAGGGAAAAGGAAGCAGAATAGAATAAATTTTAGGTGGAATGAAATGCCAATCAATCTCAGTAAAAAGTGTCAAAATTAAGTACAGTGTCTAATACCTAGCAGACAATCATTAAATACCTGTATTTTGAAATCCAATTTTAAGTAATATCTCATCATATTTTTTGAGTCTTCCTCAAATTTATAGTTGTCAATGTTTTTCTTGAAACTTAATTTTGATAATAGAAAAAATGTTCTCTTTTCTAGGTTTTTATCTAACCTTTATTATTAAAACTTATGAGAGCAGAACCAGAGGCTATCTTAGAATAATAGGTATTTTCATTTATTGGAAAATATGAATAGCAAAGCTTAAAGAAAAATATTTTCTCATGTTTTCATGTTAAGAATTAAAAATGATTCTCAAAACAGTAAGATGCAAGTTGATTTAGATTCTATAATTTTTCAGTTATTTCCAGTTTTAACATTCAGTAATCAACTGTCTATTATGCTCCAAAACCATTATTCTCTCTCCTAAATTTTACAAGAGTAGTATTTTTTGTCCACATTTCCTCATCACCTATTCATTCTTCAGCCCGCTAGAATTTGACTTCAGACCTCACTACTCCAAGGGAATTTCTTTAGAAAATGACATCAAAGTCTCCAAGTTGCTCATTCCAAAGGATGCTTTTGGTGTTTGCGTTTATTACTATTTCTTCAACATTGGTTTCTATTTGCCTTATCCTTTCAGATCCTATGTCCTTTAAATTAACTGACATCATAATCTTTGAGTTTGTTCCCTACCCCTACCTTATTCTTATATAGTGATACCTCTTTCTGTATTCATCTCTGAACTGTTCCTTACATTGCTCACTCCTCACTGACACTTGCTTTTTCCCTTTATCTCCTTTGTCTGCTTTATTTATATTAATTAATAAATGCAAAGCATTCAGCACAATGCTTGTTATATAAAAGTAAGTGTTCAATCAGTGATACTAAACTATTAGATCTCTCCTGCCCCATTAGTCTCTGGTTGATTTCCGACGTTACTTACTATTACTATTGTTACTACTTCAGTTGCTTCACTGCTACTATTACTACAACACACACACACACGATTTTCCTGTTTACTTGTCACTCTGTTTCCCAACTTCTTTACCTTGGGTTGGTAAAATCGCCTGCATTTCTCTAATCTTTTTCACCTATCCTTGATTGCTATTATTGTGAATGAAGTATTGTAAGGCAATGAGAACTGAT